CTTGAGGGCAACATAAGTTTTTTTTTTTTGGCCTAATTATAACATAATGTGATTGACAACTATCAAATATTTAAACAAAAATAATGGCGACAAGATATATTTACAGCTGTTGTAATTTTACAAAGGTTTTAATCAGGTAGTACTTGGAATTCACAACAAATCGCTGGAAATTGTACGTACCTGTGGAACTATAGAATCTGTAATAGAAGCTACGGTTTCTATTAAAATGGTATAATGAAACAGAGGGGATGCTGTTTCTATTCTATTCTATTCTATTCTATTCTATTCTATTCTATTCTATTCTATTCTATTCTATTCTATTCTATTCTATTCTATTCTATTCTATTCTATTCTATTCTATTCTATTCTATTCTATTCTACACAAATGAGAAATTGTGATTTTTTTTTTCATTCTCAATTGTTCCCCCCAAAAAAATGGGTGGGTATTCTATTAGGGATGCTGCTTCTAATACAGATTTTACGGTATTTGCAATATGATAATGCTTTTGTTTTTCCCCTTTTAGATAATAGCCCACCAGTATTATCAAAATTCGTTTTGAAGAATCAGACAGTTATTGAAGGCGACTCGGCATTGCTCCGTTGTCATGTATTTCCAACTGCTCTCAATCACCATATGCAGTGGTTTAAACAGCTGAGTTTTGACACAGTTGGTGGCAAGACACCATTGGAATTATTAGAGGTACTGTAGGTCATCTGTGTATTAACCCTTATATTTGCCATCATGTTAGACTATTACTTACCAGTATAAAACAGTGAAGACCAGTGTTTATTGTTATTCTATCAAGGTGAGGTCAATGAAAACACCAGAAAATTGCAAATAAAATTGTATTTAACAGTAGTATATTTCATTATGTGACACAAATCTGAAAATTTCTCTGAACTGTCACCCAGTTTTCTGAATGGGAGATTGACAAAGACAAATGATGTACATGTATGTTGACACTGTGGCTGAAACTATTTGACCATTTTCAGCGCCATTGTCAACTTTTGGCACCATCTACAAAATCATTTTGTGTGTAATATGTGCTCATCCCACATGAAATGTTGATAAAAATTGACAAATTTTTTGATCAATAACTAAAAGCAATATCAATATCTGTATGGCCCAAGATATGGGTAAAATATTTGCACTGAATTTTTGGTGAGGGGGAAACAAATTTGACAGGGTTAACCTTTCCGGAAACCATGAGAAAAGGTACTTATTCTTGATATTCTGGCTTAAGAAATGGGATTATTAGTTACACTAATTTCCGTTAGTCACTAATAAACAGGATTTATTGATAAGTCCATCCATCAGCCATCAACCCAGCTACAATTGGCATTCATAGGGGAGTTGTGCAGCAGGTGAAACTAAGGAATAAAAATTTCAACAGTGACCATGAAAGTCGATGATGGAGCGAGTTTTAGCTCCCTGATTCACCTGATAAAAATGGAGCCGACAAGATTATCATCTGCACACTTCTGTAAGCCAACATGTTACTGATGACTCTTGTGCTCATGATTGCACACCATCCAGTATTGAAATTTCAGACATGTACAGCTGTTTCGGCACTCATCAAGTGTAGCTTTTTTCTTCTTCTTTTTTTCTGAATTTGATCTCTATCTCAAAATGGAAATTTAAATGGAGTCAATTACGACAAGTCCAGTGCCATAGGTAGAAGTCTTGTTCGCTCTATTTTACAGTCTCCAACTAGAATGTATTGCAAACAAATAATTTTTGAAAATATCTTGTAATCTCCCATTTCAAATTTCTAGTAATCGCACAAGTTTTTGTCAAAATTTTAGAAAAAAAATGAGAAGAAATTAATTTTTATGAAAAATCAAAATAAAACCACAATTTTTAAATCAAAAAATAATAAAAAAAACACACTCCAGCATTGATTTCTGAAAATGTTATTTCAGGACTTAATATTTATTATTAATTTAATGCAATATATTTATATAAATGGGTGTGTTAGGATAGTATTAAGTTTCTGTTAATTTTATGACACTGTTTTGAAGTATATTTAAATTGTTGGATCATGTTGTGTTGCTATATTCTATTACAGTATCGAGAATTTAGCAATGCTTTTGAGACAACAACTAAACTGACCATGTCTTACTGAATTTATACTTGAATATCTGCCATAAATTTGTTTATGCTCTATTTTTCTTTGTTCATCAGAGTTCATAGAACTCGCTTCTAAACATAAACAACAACTCTTCATGTGTTGACTTGAGAAGACAGGTAACTTCAAAGAAACCTGGGAGCTTTTACTATTCTGCCATTTTGAGCTGCCTCATGATCAGTGGCATTCCTTTTGATTCATGATACAATCAGTCGTGCATATAACACCTTTACAAAAGTATGTTTCCTGTGGTATCAAATGAAGTATTACCAAAAGTGTTTTAAAACTCTGGATCGTGTTTGTGGAGTTTAGTTTCTACTTTTTCATTACCATGTTTTGACAGCTACTTTATATTTCTTCATCTACTCAAACATGTTGGGAAACCGATCAATCCCAAACCTTTCGTGGATTGTTGATGAAGTTTTGTTTTCTAGGTAAAACACCGATTGTGTATTCCCACATGGCTGTCTTGTGTGTAGTATGTGGCTACTTGTCACATGCTGTTATTGACTTGAGAGATCAATTAGGTCTAAGCAATGTTTTTTTCTTCCTCTTATAGGATGTGTGGCCAGATCACCAGCCTCTTGATTGGTCATGCAGTGAGGCGGTAGCCGCGCTGTCTGAGATGCCGCCTCTGGAGTGTTTGAATAAGGTGAGATTGAACAGAATTAGTAATTATAACAATCGTAATGAAACTGAATTCCAATTACACTCGTAGAGTGAATTTTCTTGAACAACAACAAGGTGGGATTATTCAGTATGTCCCTTAACTTTTTAATCTTCTTCTTTTTCTGATCTTGACTATTAATTCAGCTCTTACCGGTAATCATAGGCCTCATTATAATAACCATTGTTTGTGATCCTAGAATGAAATGATACAGTGATTGGGCTTATGTTAGGTTCATGGTTTGTGAAATGTACACTCATTGGTACCTTGCTCCCGGATTGTAAGACTCACACTGATTGGTTCATATAATGTTCTAGTTTGTAAGGTGTACACTGATTGGTTGGTTTCTTTATCTTGGATTGTAAGATGTAAACTGATTGGTTGACATCTATAAGTGTCAACCAATCAAGGTCTATTGATGCTTTGCAAGTTTAAAAAGCTAAACAAACTTTAACTTCAGTATGTAATAACTGGTATATCTTACAAACTTTACACATCTTCTCACAAGCTTCATGTAACTGCTGCTCAAAACAGTAAAACTATTATCTTCAAGTAAACTTTTCTCAGTTTTCTGAAACTTCTATCACTTATTTTTGACTAAATGTTGGCAATGATTTGTATTCCTCTAATATTTTTGGAAATATTTGCTGCAGTGGAGACAGTATAATAAAAATAAGTTATGATTAAATACTACAAGTTATATAACACAAACATAACAAATGTAATGCTTGTTTTGATATTATTTAATTGTATTCTTTCAATACAATTGTCCACTAAAAAAAAGTTTTCAACATTTTTTTAAGACTTGCTGAATATCAATGCTTGAATTCCTAAACATGTGAATAAAATGTGAACCGGTGTATTTATGTGGCAATTTTTGTAATGAAAGTATCAAGATTATATAATATTACATTAATTTATGTGCAAAACCTTCATCTGACTTCTGTAATACTCCAACCAGCTGCTGTGTTGAAACACATGGGTAAGTGAATAACATTTTGTTTTGATTCTTGGAACATCCTAATTTTTTGCACTTTTTGGTAATTGACTGTTTTCATTTTGGATCTAATGGACATACTGTAAAACATGTCTTTTTCGCGAATTTAGCGAGAGAACTGATTCGCTAATGATTTCATTATGATTTCAAAATGGCCGCCAAACAACGTCACTTTGTAAATAACACAGAAAACGTACAAATCTGGAGCGCTTCATTATTTCACTTGACTGTTTTATATGGAGGTGATGACTGCGCATTTGTTTTGGCAGGCGACAGACAAGTATTGTGAAAACAGAAAATCAACAAAGAAAAGATTCGACATTTCGCTATTACGTTATTTTACCACAATTCGCTAAAATTGCATGTTGCTTTTTTCAACATGTTTTACAGTAATTCTCCATTGTCTACATGCCTTAAAATTTATTCATGTTTTGTTTATTTTATGAAAAGTGACAAAAAGTGAATTAGGTGTTCAAGGAGTTAATGTTTTCATCAGGGTTATGTATAAGCGTATTAGTTTTGTGTAGCTAGTTTCCGCTGCAGCATATATTTCCCAGAATTACTTGTTAGTGTTCTGGCTTCCAGGCATTGTGTCAAATTTGAATATTAATTGGTCCCTATGTTGCCATGAATATTTTCTGATCGAGAGCAGCCATTGTTAGTTGAGAATTAAACTTCAAGTTATGTGTAATTACTGCTTTAATTTAATTTTCATAATATGACAAACTATTCCATTGTCATTGTCAGTTCTTTGCTATTACTAAAAAAAAATCTTCTCAATTCTTTGGTTCTTGCAGTTTCAAATTAGGATTAAATTTGCACAAACATTTGCCACTAAATTTTGGTCAAAAAAAATCTGCCAACACATTGACAAAAAATGCATTCATCTCCGACTAAATTACACAGTGAGATAATCACAGTGGTTTCTTAAAATATTTGTTCTTGTAAGTGGATTGTGGGATTTAAAAATTGAAATCCAGTGTTAGTAGCATTCTAAAAAAACGCTTGATTGAGTATGATGGTTGCAGGGTTAAAAGCTTTCATATGTACTATGGTTGAAAGAAGAAATTATGTGTACTGCCCTGTTTTCATTAAGTAACAAAAGACACTCCAGAAACCTGGTTAGGTTTGTCGTAGCCGACCTGTGTGTTTCTATACTCACATAATGTCATTTGTGCAACAAGAGTTAACATTTTATCTTGTGTATGTGCACTTAAATAAATTTTGACTGGTGCAATTTTTGTGAGTAGTAGTAGTAGACAACCATCTAATAAATGTTAATACAATTCTAAGTAAGTGGCTGATACATTCCATTTGATGATATTTGACTTGCAAAACTTACAGTTGAAAAAAAAAAATTGGTGTCCTACTTAACAAACACCTTGTTTTGCTTGGAATCATTTGCAGGGATTTTATTGTGAACTTTAATTTCATAAGAGAATAACTTTGAAATTTGGTTCCAGTGAAAATTTCTCTTGGGTCATTGTTAGAGATTGTCAGTGACTATTGCGAATTTTTTTCTTAAAAAACGCCATAGCATTATCAAATTTAGTTCATTGCTAGCTGATTTATTTCTCTTGCTTGTAAATTTGCTTGTGGATTCTGATGTTGTCGGAGTTTGCTTATTGTTTATGAGTATTGGCATTTTATTTTTTTTCTTATTGCCTCTTAGACACTGCTGTCTTGAAATAAAAATGTTATCAGGAAAACTGCATGTGCTTTGTGGTTTTAAATCCCATTCCATTCTCCCATTGTTGAGCTAAGATATAAGACATATAAGAAACAGTTGTAACCATATGTATAAAGAGATCTCTGAGATAGTGTAATGAGTTGACAAGATGTTTGCATATCATGGAGAGGTGACTGTATTTTTGTGTGGGGGTAAGGCATATGAGATAACCACCTGCATGAAGAGAACTCTGATATTGCAAAAAGATTTTGATTTTACAAATCCATTTTTGTTCACAAATCAGTAAACAAATCTAGGCATATCTGAGGCTTACAGCAAAATATCATTACAAACAAATGTGAATAGGAACCAATATTACTGCCTGTTTTGTAACTTGAGAAACGAATCTTCTAAATTAAAGCTAAAAATGGTGATAAATACACTAGTACTATGATAATAATTAGTTATATTGAACAGCCTTTTTGATCAATCCTTTTTTGAAATGCAGAATAAATCTCCAATTGTCCATCTCTGCATAAAATAAGAAAAGGTGCTTTTACAAAGTTCTTGTTCAATGGCAAATTGATATGCATGAATATTTGGCAAGAATAATTTTAAATGGACATTGAAAGTTTCTTCAGTTCAAAGATTGATAGATGCATACATGCTCACATACATGAGTACATAACACAAATGAATTAGCTTATGAATGAACCAGTCCATTTACTTAAAAATGAATGTTTTGATAATATTCCTGCTTAAGGCAAAATTAGACAGCTGTGTGGGGTCACAGCCAATATTTGAAGGTTCACAATATATGTATACTGCAGGTGTTGAGAGATCTCTTAGCAGAATATCACCATCTACATATCAATTATGTTGATAATTATGTTTTTTAGTCCAACAAACCATTTAATTTGATACAAATAATGATTCATAATTCAACAACTTTTAACTTAACCCGTGAGCAGCAGTCATTAGTATTTTTAGTCATTTTCTGGTCTATTTATATATCTGAATGCTTTAACTGGTGGCAGCGTTAGAATTTGGTTTATTGAACGACTGGTGGCAGCATTTGGATTATATCCACTGAACAACTGGTATCAGTGGCTGGATTATGTTCATTGAACAACTGGTATCAGTGGCTGGATTATGTTCATTGAACAACTGGTATCAGTGGCTGGATTATGTTCATTGAACAACTGGTGGCAAGGTTAAGATTATGATCAAATTGATGGTAGCAGTGGGATCCATGGGATTAGGTGGTGGCAGCGATGGGATTAGGTCCATTGGACAACTGGTGGGAGTGGTGGGATTAGGTCCATTGACTAACTGGTGGCAGTGGTGAGATTAAGACCATTGGACAACTGGTGGGAGTGGTTGAATTAGGTTCATTGGATAACTAGTGGCAGTGGTGGGATTAGGTCAATTGGACAACTGGTGGCAGTGGTGGCATTAGGTCCATTGGACAACTGGTGGCAGTGGTGGGATTAGGTCCATTGGACAACTGGTGGCAGTGGTGGGATTAGGTCCATTGGACAACTGGTGGCAGTGGTGGGATTAAGACCATTGGACAACTGGTGGGAGTGGTTGAATTAGGTTCATTGGATAACTAGTGGCAGTGGTGGGATAAGGTCAATTGGACAACTGGTGGCAGTGGTGGGATTAGGTCCATTGGACAACTGGTGGCAGTGGTGGGTTTAGGTCCATTAGACAACTGGTGGCAGTGGTGGGATTAGGTCCATTAGACAACTGGTGGCAGTGGTGGGATTAAGACCATTGAACAACTGGTGGGAGTGGTTGAATTAGGTCCATTGGACAACTGGTGGCAGTGGTGGGATTAAGACCATTGGACAACTGGTGGCAGTGGTGGGATTAAGACCATTAGACAACTGGTGGCAGTGGTGGGATTAAGACCATTGAACAACTGGTGGGAGTGGTTGAATTAGGTCCATTGGACAACTGGTGGCAGTGGTGGGATTAAGACCATTGGACAACTGGTGGCAGTGGTGGGATTAAGACCATTGGACAACTGGTGGCAGTGGTGGGATTAGATCCAATGGACAACTGGTGGCAGTGGTGGGATTAAGACCATTGGACAACTGGTGGCAGTGGTGGGATTAGATCCAATGAACAACTGGTGGCAGTAGTGGGATTTTGTCCACTGGACAACTGGTGGCAGTGGTGGGATTTTGTCCACTGGACAACTGTTGGTAATGATGGGATTATGTTCATTGATCCATCTGCATGTGGCAGCTTTGAGATTGTCTATTGGATTGCTGATGAAAGTGGTAGGATTATGTCCAATGAACCAGTCGG